TTGACTTTTTTTTTTTCATTTCCATTGCAGTCGTGTTTGATACAGGTATATTTACATTTCAGTTTCATTTGATGGCCTCTTTTTTACGTATTTATCTTGAATGAACAGGTGTCACATCAGGCAATGCCGCCACATTTGGCGTCGGTGCTATTCAGGTTAAACTTGGGATAACTTGCTCAGTTTTTCGTTCATTGATATTTGTAACTTCCCGTACAAAATGTTTCACTTTCTTGATTTTTTTTTTTCAAAATTTTATATAAATTCATGCGTTGTGTAGGTGATTGCTACAGCAGTTTCGACATGGATGGTAGACAAAACTGGGCGCAGGATTCTACTTCTTGTAAGTTGGAAGGAAATATATATCTGTATTAAGGCCTAAAATTTATCGACTTACTTAACAAAAGTAAGCTTTTACCTCTTTCGGATTTTCAGGTCTCTTCAGTAGGCATGGGTGTCAGTCTTCTAGTAGTTTCAGTCTCATTTTTTGTAAAGGTAAATTATGCTCTATCTATTATAAGATATATAAATCAAATATACATTATCTGATAAGTTAATGTTCGATACGTTTTCAAACCCAAAAATTGTTCAAGGACTTTGTGAGCAAGGATTCTTCATTTTACAGCATATTGGGAATTCTATCAGTAGTCGGAGTTGTGGTAAGTGTTCTCAACCGATTCTTTAGCATATACCAGTCTATAAATTTCTTTTGCTCGGCCAACTTACATTGTTTAACTGAAAAATTTCCACTGCAGTGCATGATTATCTCATTTTCTCTTGGAATGGGGCCCATTCCTTGGCTTATAATGTCTGAGGTAATGTTCGCTTATCCTCACCTTCGTTAGATACTAATATTTCAATGGTATGGCTTTTTATCCCATAATTTCAAACTTAATACCTAGAATTGCCGTGCAACACATGATTTTGTTTGAAGCATGTATTAGATTAGTTTAGTTCCATTATCTTATATTCCGCAGCTTCAATTTTTATCAGACTTTTGTGATTTATTTTTAATTATTATTTTATTTTATTTTATCTTAGATTCTTCCTCCTAAGATCAAAGGGCTAGCAGGAAGTGTGGCAACTTTGGCAAACTGGTCCGCCTCTTGGGTTATTACTATGACTGCACCTTTACTACTTGCTTGGAGCAGTGGAGGTTCGTATACTTTATCCCAGTTTTATGTTTCCACTAGCTGTGGATTATTATTATTATTATTATTATTATTATTATTATTATTATTATTATTATTATTATTATTTTTGTTCTCTTCATATGTTTTACTGTGCTAGAAAATACAAATCCTTGGAAATTTTGAGCAACAAAGAATCGTTTCCTTCTATAAGCTGGGGATGGTTTATATTGGAGAAATATGTCTTGTTTACGCGCTTACTTTTCATCTAATTAAACTTACGGCATCTTTTAACATGGAAATAACTAAGTACTTGTGTGTTTTAACAGGGACATTCGCGCTTTACACGATCGTGTGTGTTTTCACGGTGGCCTTTGTGGCGATTTGGGTACCCGAAACAAAAGGAAAGACATTGGAGGAAATCCAGCAATCTTTCAGATGAGAGTTCTTTTACTTTTTTTTTTTTTTTTTTTTTANTAATATTTGTGGATGAATTTAGATATTCTTCTAAGGGGAGAATTTCTCGAATGCTGTTTACTTGAAATGGAATCAAAACTACAATGGTGGATTATGTGATTTTCAAAAACTCATCCACCTTTTCTGTAACTTGCTCAGCTATAACATCATGTGTTTTGATCGTGTGTAATGTTATTTTAATTATTTTGTTGATTCTTTTTAATTATAGTTTAATTTGGAAAAGTAATAGCTGTTGTATGTACTGTTAATTAACATGTATTTAATCTAAACTAGTATAACTAAATTTATGGTAATGAAAGATAAATTTATAAGGTAAGATGAAATAATTATTTATGGTTGATTCCAAATCAATTATGTTTCTAAAATTTTTAACCGAACCTAAATATAAAGTAAGATATTTTGACATATATGATTTCAAAGCGTGTGAGTCTGTCACTTAGGCTTAACACGTTTTGAATTAATATATAAGGCATAACAGGACATTACATTGTATGTGCTTAATATATAAGGCATAACAGGACATTACATTGTATGTGCTGCATGTCTGCTTTATATATGTAATGTAATTGATGAGTGGTAAAGATAAACATTATTGATGTATTTTTTAGCAGGATTCAATTAGTCGCTATTTGATTAGTTGTCACTGTGCTAAATAAGGGAAATTATTTTCAGTAATTCTTCAGAAGTTGGTGTGGAATATTTAATAGGAAGCAGCGTGAAACTTGGAGAATTCCGGCTGTTCTCAAAATCGAACCTAAAAAGAATCATTTACGCAATTCGTTACAAAATATGACAAGTTTTGACTTATTTTTTTTATATGCTTTAACTAAAAATTTAATTAAAATTTAGTCCAAATCAATTTTCTTCAATATTACCAAATATAATTAAACAATATTAATCAATCATATTCACACATCAAAGCTACTTTAATTCATTATTTATCCACTCACATATTTTTAAGTATCTATCATTTTCAATAACATCTTTCATATTTTTAAATTAAATGAACTTTAATCCTTTTAATTGAAATATTATTTAAATATACTCAAAATTCAACTAAGAGCTCCACTAGATCAATCTTATTCAAAATTAACTCACTTAAACTAATAAATTCAATTAAAATCGGTTTTCTTTATATCAGATAACATGACTTTTTTTCTAAAAAAAAAAAAAATTGGTACAGTTCTGGAGATTTCACAAATATTTGTATTGAGAATCGCAATGAACAATCTCATACCGTACCGAACTGAAGATTAAAACCAAATTATAACATTAGTCGTGTCTTGTTCATAGATTTTAAGTTCTTTAACCCTATAGAATTTGAATATTTTTATACTACTTGATAACACATATTAATAACAACTAAACTTTATTTAAATATTATACTTAATAATACATGATATACAATTATTTTTATTTTGAAAATATATATTTATATTATATTTATTATTATTTTTATTAGTCTTATTTTATTCAATTTTATAATTAAAATAGTATGAACAAAAGTTAAAGAAACACATTTTAAAAAAACAATTATATTGGATTTTGGTTAGATTTCAAATTTCCATAGTTGGTGGCGTACTTATTTTAACTAAAATTTTAAGTTACTTTTATATTTTCTAAAATTGATTTGGAAATAGAAATTTTAATTTCAACATTTTAAAAACAACTAAATAGTTATTCGAAAAACTTAAAAATAATTAAAAATTGTTGAAGCTTTGAACCGAACTGGACCGCTTCGCAGTCCCTAATTAGGGGTGGGCAAAAAAATTGAATTTTTTAGTACCGAATCGGATTGAAATGGTCCCGTTCCGAAAAATAGGGTTCTAAACAATTTTTTTTTTTAATTTTCATATCGTTCTCGGTACCGAACCGTTTGAAACAATGTCGGTATCAGTTTGAATATTTTTGTCCCGGACTGTCCCGTTTATCCCGTTCTATTTTTTTTTGTACAAAAATATTATATATATGTGTATATATATATATATTATACATTGTTATTGTATTTATGTTAGTATTATCGTAAATAATTAACTATAATTTTTGTATTTGTAATTATTAAAATACTGAATATTCTGACCCAAAAAAATTAAAAAATTAAACCAATACCCATTACCCATTTATTTGACCAAAAAATGTATAAGTCAACTCATGTACTTAACTAAGAAGGCAATCAGTCATTATTAAGTGAATCAGTTTGATTTTTTTTTTTTTTATATGTTTCGTTTCCCGGTCTTGACTGATACGATCTGTTAGGGACGGTGTCTCATCCCAATTCAAAAAAAAGGGACAAATATCGAGATAAGTCAAATCCTGAACTGTCTCAGACCTTTCTCACCCCTATCCCTAATCCCAAACTGAAGCGATAAACGAACCAAATCATCCAAATTTTTGGTAGAGTAGTAGAGGATAATATCTGAGTCTGAGGACCCATACATGCTCGCGCTTAATACACTCGTTGGACCCGTGGCTAGTTTAAGCACTCAAGATTAACAAAAGGACAGAAAGCAAAAAAGTTTTCAATTATTCACCTAAGAAAAGGACAGAAATCAAGAAAAATTTCAACTATATTCAGCCCCACATTATTGCGTTTTCTATTTTCTTTTGTCCATAACAAGGAGTTTCCCGGCATAAATCCTAAACGGCTAAACTTTCCCACATTGCACACATGGACCACCTCGCCACAGCTTTCAATTACATATTTTCCTAGGGTTTAATGCACCAAATCCCCTGTATTATACGAAATCTGCGCATTTTCCCTCTGTATTTTAAAAATTGCGTCAGACCCCCTTCTATTAAGGTTTTGTATGCGCGAAACACCCAAAATTTAGACGATTTTGGGTATTTCGCGCATACAAAACCTTAATAGAAGGGGGTCTGACGCAATTTTTAAAATACAGGGGGAAAACGCGCAAATTTCGTATAATACAAGAGGGTCTTGTATATTTTATCCTTCTTATTGCCGATTCATTTGCTCTATTCTTTTTATATTTCTATTTTTTTTTTCTGTCTTTACTAGGAAGTAGCACATGGGATGTTACATTGTCAAAATTGTACAGATGATGTCCATTTAGCCCAAAATATAATAAGAATTGATCATCTATTATTTTTTACGTGTGTGATTGTTTTAATCAGTGTTTTTTTCTTGTTGGACTGTTAAAAATCTGAGGGCTAGCGTTAATCAATGTATTATACCTTTAACGCGACTATATTAATATAAAAAGGATTTTAATACATATATGTATTTGTTGATATAGGAAAAAATAAAAGTTTATATATATTTTTTTTCATAATATAATATCCAACTATTATTTATTCTAAAATTTGTTGTCAAATAATTTCATTATTATTATTTATTAAAGTTACACAAATAGTCTTTTTTTTATGTGATGATAAATATTTAATGTACGTTGATATTATTTATTAATATTAATAATTTAAAATTATATAAATAAAATTCAAAATAAGAAAATTGTGAGTAAAATGTTTTACCACAGATGTACATGTTCTACCCAATTTTCAGAATTTATAGTTTCCTATTAATAATTATAAAGTAAAAATAATTTTTAGAAAGTAAGCCCTTTATTTTATTTACCATGTAAGCATCAATATTATTTTGGAAGTTCAACTATAATTGATAAATAGAGAAACAAAAAGAATTTCAAGTAAGTAAGCCATTTATTTTATTTACCATATAACAACAATATTATTTTGAAAATTCAACTATAATTGATAATTAGAGAAACAAAAAAAATTTCTAGTAAGTAAGCCATTTATTTTATTTACCATATAAACAACAACATTATTTAGGAAGTTCATATGTACTGTAATTCTAGCTCGGATTATTGCCAAATATTTTATTATAGATTGAATATTAATTTTAAAGTTTCTATTATTAAATAAGCAAGTTTTTATTTTTATTTTTGTTTATTTTTTGGCGAAACTCATACTATTTTATGTAAGTACAAACTATATATATATATATATATATATATATATATATATATATATATATATATATATATATATATATATATATATATATATATATATATATATATATATATATATATATATATATATATATATATATATATATATATATATATATATATATATATATATATATATATATATATATATATATATATATATATATATATATATATATATATATATATATATATATATATATATATATATATATATATATATATATATATATATATATATATATATATATATATATATATATATATGCTTACTTATGCTTTTGATTTCCATCCCAAGTTATAGGATATTCCCTAATTCCCCACAATTTTGCACCACTGATTTCATCAAGAAAGTTCTGAAAAAAGTATATTTCCTTTATTTGGCTTCAAAGAAAAAATGACCAGATAGTTTATTTTACCAATAGAGTTGCAAAAGATCCTTAGTGAGGTTAACATTTTTAAAGTCTATAAGAGGGACTCCAACTCCTCAAATAAGAACAAGAAGAGAGTATTTTAAATCCTAATAGAAGCACTAAACCACTATCAAACAATACCAAGATATATTCATCTATACCCTCCTACCTATAGCAAGGAGATAAAAGTTACGTAACTTAATGGAATCATTTATTTCCATTATTACAGTTGATTCCAAAACCATAATTACAAACTACACTCAAATGATTTTCCATATTTGAACTACTCTTTAGAAGACAAGCACCACGTTAAATACGTTTCATTTTTTTATTATTATTTTTGATTTTTTATTTTATTATATATATATAGGGATTGGGATCATATGAGAAAGTAACATAGTGAAAGAAATAAGAATGAACAACACTAACGGCACGGTCAAAGAGTCCAACTTAGTCAAACACGCGGTGACATTTCTGTAAATAAGTGGACTTTTGATTTTTCACGCGAGGGTATATTAGTCATTGTGCAAATGCACTATTGCGATAATATGCAATATCACATGCACTAAAGTGTTGTTTGTCTTACAATATGGTGCAGTCTGTATAGTTATATTTTTAATGTGCGATTCCCAACGCGATAGATGCAATGCATTGTACATTCAAATGCAATTTTTAAAATTTTATTCAATTACAGATTTAACCCATGAACTAAATTGTAATATAATTAAAATTTATAAAATTTCAATGGCAAAATTGCATTTTGTGTCATGTAACTATGTCTGTGTGGCAAACGTGGACAGCTTCTTTCTGGTTGGCAAAAGTGCCCTGAAACTTGTTAAAACCCAAAATTTGTGCCCAACTTACCTACAAGTTACCAGATTTGATCGGATTTTTCGTGTGACAAAACAGGATAGTAACTTGTTACATTCGAAATTTGTGCCCAAATTAGGCATGGATTTTGGGTTTTAACAAGTTTTAGGGCATTTTTGCCAAACCAAAAAGAAGTTGTCCACATTTGCCACACACCCCTATTTACATAGCATAAAATACAATTTTTCCAAATTTCAATTATGTCTCCCAAACGTATCTAATTTTCAAAAATCGTTCAGCCCCAAATCCAACTCTCACCGTCGAATTTTCGTAAGCAATCACCGATCGCCTTGCGTCTACAACATTTGCCGAGGGTGGCAGGTCCAACCGTTGGGATGCAAGAAGAGGGTGTTGGAGTGGCCGAATTTGACTTCAATTTTGACGTGGGAGGATAGACCGCAGGGCATTTGTGAGGTGATCGATCGATTAGGGCTCCAAGGTGAGAGATCTGCTTGGACGAGATCGATTAGAGCTTTCATCGATTAATTAGGGTTTCTGCTAATCAATTAGATCCATCCTCGTTCTCGGCCTCCTTGGATGGGTTGACAGCAAGTGGTGGGCGGCAGGGCGGTCGATTGGTGGTCTGCTCCCAGCCGGAGGCGGCACTTTGAACTTGGCGATGGCGGCTGAGGAAGGTAAGTGACTCAGGAGGGACGAAGGACAACTTGTGGCTTGCATCGGGCGACTGACGACGAACGTCGGTCGATGTGTGTGTTCGTGTGTATTGAGTGAGTTAGACGGGTAATGTGTTGTCCGTTGGGGCCCACACGTGGGTTTAATTGTATCTAATATCTAAATTACCCTTAATGAATGTAAAAAAAAAATATTGTTTTTTTCAGCCGTTAGATCATCTGATCCGATGACTATAATGTATTCTTATTTCTTTCACTGAAGTAAACTACCAGAACGCAAAATACCAGAAACTTTATGAACCATTGTATACAAAGCTCTTTGAGATTGTAAATGGTATTGTGGAAGTTGAAGGAGTAACTATTGCTTCAGTGGACCAGGGAGTTTGTGAAGGTTTTGAAAGACAAATACAGAACTTGGAGATCGAGCATTTCATTATTCTCCCGAACTTGTGTTATTGATTGTTACTCATTCATCATTTTGCTATGAATATTTTGGTTCATTATTTTAATAATCTGTCTTGAAACTCATTCAATCGATATTGAATTTTGGTATATTTTGCTTCTTTCACTAGACTAGTTGGGACGTGTTGAAAATACTGTTCTAGTGTTTTTTAGTTTGTTACCTTAGTCTACAAGTGTTTCACTTGTAGGCGAAATTTTACTATTTGTATTCATTCATTTCCGATGCGTTTTTAAATTTTGAACTTTGTGTGAAAATCTAAAATTTTTGGTCCCTAAAATTCTTACACACATCATTTCAAATGAATTAATTCACTCCAGCATCTGCATGTGTATATTATTCTACAGTAAATTTACCTGAAAATTAGCTTTTTCCCAAGATATAATTCCCCCGGCCAGACAACAAATAAAAAAGAACCAAGGGAAAAAGGTAAACAAAATAAAATAAAGGAAGAGCATCTTTTGATATAACCTCACATGCTAAAATTGAAAAACAGCCACATCCATGTCTAAAGCGGGACCATATATTCAAATCAAAATCAAAATGTAATGCACCAAGATATCACTTGCTTGAAAGATGGATCTCATCCATTAAAAAAACTTGGTGCCAGCTACAAAGTTCATATGTGTCTCCTATGACAGGAAAACAGGACAACTTTCAGAAAACCAGTCACAAATAATTCAGACGCATTCCTTAAAACAATGAGTTACTTTTGTCCGATCCGCTTGCATATATTCATCGTAACAAGAACTTCAGAGAACGTAAAGCAATACATAATGTACCCTTGTTCTATTGTTTTCCAAAATCGTGCAGAAAATCAACTCTCATAATTAAGAAAGCAGACCTGCGCAGCTTTGATCTAAAAGCATTTCTAAGCGTTCCACTAGTAATGATATGAAAGGATTGGTTCACAAGTTCCTGCAAGCAACAGTTTAAGAAAATCTGCCGAAAACAACTACTAGTACAGAACTTGCAACATTTTAAGAAAATCTGCAGAAAACTACTAATAGTACAAAAAGAACAATTGCAATCATACAAATGCAGCATTAGACTTAGAAAACTTCTAAATACAGAGAAAATGTCAAGACCATTAACAACTAGGACCACATCATGTCACCAGGAGTTCTCTACCTCAACTGTACTATGTTCAAAAAGCTGAGAACCCTTCATAATAGAAAATAACAAGGCACATCTCAAAATTTTCCCAACTGTGTTCTAACCAATTCCATCCCAACTGAACAATGCCTGAGAACAAATGATCAAGTCAACTATCCCATAGTACACCAATATTGGATCCAACCTAATAGAACAGCTCTATAGAGGAAAACAAAGGGAAAACAGGAAAAAAAAAAGACCATGATATTATCACCTCAAATATCACAAGAGATGATAGAATACAAAAAACTGAAAAAAATAAAATAAAAAAATGGACAAGGCAGATCGAACTATATATATATGTAATTACGAATATATAATCGCCAAGCTCGATACATGCTAAGAGACTACCTCCACAGGATACCTATCGATGCAGTCGGCCCAAGGCCCGTTACCAGACGACCCCACATTACGAAGTGCTTCCCACACGGCACTATTGCACTTGAAACCACTCCCGAAAGCAATCTGCCACACTCTATGACCTTTCCGCATTCTACCTTTTGCCTCTATGTACGCCAGCTCGTACCAGATGGAACTCGAGGAAGTGTTCCCAAATCGGTGCAGTGTCATTCTAGAAGCTTCCACATGAGCTGGCAGCAGCTGCAGATTCTTCTCAAGCTCATCAATCACCGCTCTTCCACCTGCGTGTATGCAGAAATGGTCGAACGCGAGCTTGAAATCCGGTATGTAAGGCTTCACGTTCTTCTTGATCAGCTTCTTGATCACTAGGGTTGCGAAGAACAGGAGCTGCTCGCTAATCGGGAGCACAAGTGGGCCTAGGGTTGTTATGTTCGTTTTCAGAGCACCACCAGCAATAGCCATTAGATCTTTGGATAGAGAAACTCCAGTTTTACCCATACTATCCTGTTCCTGGTACACACAGTGAAAGGCCTTATCATCTGCACCTTTGTGAGTACGAACAACGTGTACAAGCTTGTATTTGGCCCTACGCCTGTCCCTGGCCTTGTTCGAGAGCAAGACAGCAGCACCCCCAACCCTAAACAAGCAATTGGGTATCAGCATCGATTTTTTGTTCCCAAAATACCAATTCTGGGTGATATTCTCAGTGCTAACAACGACAGCATATGTATTTCTGTGGACCTGAAGCATGTCCTTGGCTAAATCCACGGCAATCACGCCTGCACTGCATCCCATCCCCCCCAAATTGAAGCTCCTGATATTTCCCCTCAATTTGTACTTGTTGACAATCATGGCGGATAGGGATGGTGTCGGATTGAACAGGCTGCAATTGACCACCAAGACCCCAATCTCCTTGGGCTTCACGCCGGTGGCCGCGAACAGGTTGTCGAGGGCTCCGAACATCACCTGCTCGGCCTCCTCCCTGGCGGCGCGCATGGAGGGGCGTGGGGGGATGAAGTGCATGGCCTCCGGGACATAGGTCTCGTCCCCGAGCCCAGAGCGCTCGAGGATCTTGCGCTGGAACTCGAGGGAGGATTCGTCGAAATCGCCGGTCAATCTGGAGTGCTTCATGAACCGATCGTATGGCGCTTTGAGGGCCTCCGGCGGGCGGTAGCAGGAGTAGTCGACGAGGTAGACGGGGCGGGGTCGGGTCATGATGTAGACGGTGGATCCGAAGACGAGGAAGGCGGAGCAGATAATGACCGAGACGAGATTGTACTGCAGATGGAGCCACAGGAGGCGGACGTCGTCGGGGTTCATCTGAGCGGCCTCGATCGTGACGACGGCCATCAGAGGGACGAGGCAGAGTGTGAGGAGATGGGAGATCAAGTAGTGGTACCCTAGCTTGACGTACTTGAGGTTGACGCTCTGGAGGAAGTCCGGCAGGCGGCGGGTGCTGTGGATCCGGACGCCGACGGAGGCGGCGCCGGTTTGTTGGGGAGCACCGCCGCCCTGTCGTCCTCCTCCGCCGTCCATGGCTGCCAATTATTATTTTCCAACAAGCCTAAGGAAAAAAATAAACAAAAGGGTATTTTTTGATTTTCTATTAAGAAATGTGGAGGACGACGGCGGATTAAATCCAGATGGAGAAGAAGAGTTGAACGGTGAGAAAAGGGAATATATTTGACTCTCTTATGGGAATAATATTAATATCAATATTAATAATAGCAACTGAAATTTGGAGTGCGACTTGCAAATTGCAGATGTTTATTTAGGGTGGGCATTTCTTCATTTGCGATTATTATTAATCTTTTCCTTAAGAAAAATGAGAATTAGAAGATGGACTTCTGTAATCTTCCCCCCATGTGGGCTAGAAATGGCAGCGTGTGGTGGCCGACGAGTATTGGGGAGAATATCAATGAGATATTCTTTTAAGTCTAATTTATAAGAGAAAATTGCACCTTATACTAACACCTTTAAATTATATTATACTTTCTACCTTTTATATACTTATTTTTAAATTTACCTAAAAAAACTATAAATATTTTCAATTATACTTATAATTCAAATTTTAGTAACTTATCATTTAATTAGGGAAGTGTTTGTCCCATTTTTGTTGCGTTTTTCCTTGTTATTTTTCCTTTCTTTTTCCCCCATATTAGTTTTTTTTTAGTTAGTTTTTATCTCGTTTTGTAGTTTATTGCGTGTTTCCTCTATCTTGGTTTTTCTTGTGTTTTCCGTATGTTTTTTCCGTTTTTCTTCGTTTATGGTGTGTAGGTCGAAAGCTTCGGGAAGATCGAATTTTGGGCAAAATTCAGTTGGGTAAGCGTAATTAGATAGAGGAGATCGTTGGGAACACACAAGAAAAAACGGAACTCAATTCCGATACCAGACGAGCCCGAACGACTCCAAAATGTGAAGTAGTGCGAGCTGTCCAGGCCCCGCGCGCCCGCCGCGCCGCGGAGCGCCCATCCACCGCGCCGCGCGACAGCACCGTCACGCCGCGGCAGCCACTCCCTTCGTGCCGCGCCATACTTTGCCACACCGTGACTCATGTTTTTCTATATATATGCGCTAGGGATTGCGATCACAAAGAACCTCTCGACCGGGGTGAAAACCCTAGGTCCAGAAAAATGCAAAAATCCACTTCTCCTCCTTTTCTTCTTCTTCTTCGTTTTTCTTCTTCTTCTTTTCACTTTTATTTTCCATTTTTCTTCTTCTTCTTTTTAGTAATCAAGGATTGAGCTTTGTATTTTTGGATTCAACATTTGAATTTGGATTGATTGTAAGTCTTTCTCTTTTGACCAATTCATGAAAATGATTGTTTTGAGGAGAATGATTAATTGTGTTGAATTGATTTTACGTAGCTAATTCTTTTGCTAGGGATAGGGGATGATTGTTCTTGGTTAATTTGCATTTGTCGGGCTTAAATTGTTCATGCTTATGTGAGTTGATACTATAGATTTGATGAATTCTTGCTTGATAGTTTGATATAATCGAAGGGTGACACTTCGATCTTGTGATTGGAAACAATTGAATATTGATTGTCGAGTTAGGTTTTGTCAATTCCCATGATTAGTTGATTAAACACCTTCTAATTGAATTAGCGACTTTTAGAACCGAAAAGGGAGAAGTCGTAGACCTAGACTCGCATGAGGTAGATGATTTCGTAACTGAATAGTTTATAGGTTTTGGATTGAAATACGTACTTGTCGATAACCCGTCTCTTGTTACGAAAAGTTATTGAGACTGAGATAATTGACATGTGTTGTATGCTCGAGCTAGCTCGTCGATGTTCAATCCTTTGTTACGAAGAGTTATTGGGAGCGAACCGCTAGATATTTAAGCGAGAGTGTCAATCTAGAACTGAACAATTGATTGCCCGGTTTTGCTAAGAACTTGAATAAATTATCCCCGATTCCCTAGCTTCTCCATCTTGTTCCGTTTACATTTTTAGGTAGATTATTGCTTTTTAATATTTCTTGGTTAGTAATTATTCAAACCCCCTATCTGATTAGAGTGTTTAGGATTTATTTTCTTTTTCTGTGTGATCGATACCAAAGATAAATTCCGAACCGCCTTCCTCGTGAGATCGACCCGGGGAACGAATCTTTTGATTCGGTACTCGGTAAATATAACAATTTGTACACAACAGGAAGAAAGATCACACGGGAATTTTATTCTCCATCATATTCTCACTCATCCGATCTCCACAAACAATAGCAACAAAGATCACACGGGCCGGATTTTGATTTGCCGCTCCGGAAACACAGCGCTAACAACACTGTCGGCCCTAAACCCAAGCCGCCGAAAGTCTCAGCATTATCATCAAAGCCGAGCCTTTATAATTGGGAGGAGCTTGAGATCGAGATTGCCAAGGTTTTATACGGCTTGATGACCCAGTCCAAAAGGCCCATCTATGAAAGAGGAACCAATAGAAGTAAATTAGTTGAGCATCGATGCAAAGTCGCGAAATTCATCTCCGATCCCTAATTCTACTTCGAATAATAATAATAACAATATGAATAATCTCCCTCCTGGACCCAATTCCGCCCCCCTTTCAGCCTCAATTTGGCATGTATGTTTATATATATTTTTGTTTATG